CCCCGGCCCTTTGGGGGCTTTGTGGCCTTTGGCCCTTTGGCCCTTTGGCCCTTTGGGCTTTTAATTGGATGGGAAAAGGGCCGCGGGGCCGGGGGGCCCTCAGGTTTCCTTGCCAGGAAAAGGGTGACTCCCTGGGAAGGAGGGGGTTTTCCCCCTTGGGGGAAAAACCCCAATTCCACTTCCACAAAAAACCCCCCCCAAAAGGTTGGGGGGTTTGGAGGGCCCCCCCCCCCCCCCCCCACCACACACACACACGTGCACGCACACGTGCACGCACACACACACACCACGGCCACACCACAGCCACACCACAGCCAGGCGAGGAGCTCAGGACCCCGCCCACATCACGGCTCGCGACTCTGCATGCGGCTGCAGGCGGTATCGCTCGCCGACCAGGCAGTGCTGTGGTCGGCGGGCTCCGTGCTCTTCGTGTGGGTGCTGATGGCGCTGCATCTCCGCTCGCGCTGGCTCGCGACCCTCGGCATCTGGCAGATCCTCGCCGCGCTCCCGATCTCGTGGCTTCTGTACGCGCTCTTCGTGCCAATGACGGCGGCCATCTCAACGCTCGCCTTCTTCGTGCTCGTCGGCATCGGCGCGGACGACCTCTTCGTCTTCATGTCGGCGTGGCAGCTCGAGCGGTTTGCCCCGGCGCCAGACGAGGGTGCGGACGCAGGGGGAGGGGGCGAGGAGGCTGGCGGCGAGAGCAGCGGGGGAGGGGGTGAGGACCGCAAGGGGACACCGCCGCCGGGCGGGCGGCGACAGCGCGAGCCGCGCTCCGAGGCGGAGCACGTCGAGGCCGCGCTGGCGAGGGCAGGCCCCGCGCTGCTGACGACCTCGCTCACGACCGCGCTCAGCTTTTGGGCCCTCGCGCTGACCCCGCTGCCGGTGGTCTCTTCGCTCGGCATCTTTGCCGGCTTGTCTGTCGCCATCGACTACGCGCTCACCCTCACCCTCTGGCCCTGCCTCGTCATCCTCCACGAGCGCCACCCGCCCAGGCAGGCCGCCGCCGCCGCCGTGTCCTGCGCTCTCTCGTGGCTGTGCTCGAGCGAGCTGACGGTGCGAGTCCGGCACGGCCACGCGCCCCTCCGCCGCGTCAGCAGCGCCGAGGCGAGCGCTCCGCGGGAGAGGCAGGGTGCGGGCTACGCTCTTCCCACCCCAGCGCGAGCGTGTTGCGCCTGTAGGATGTCGAGGAGCAGCTCAGCCCCGTCGAGGATCAGGCAGCCGGCGACCGGGGCGCCGGCGAGCTGACCCCAGTAGGGCGGCCGATCGTACGCCGTTGGTTTGAGTCATACGCGCGCCAGCTCAACGCTTCGCGGCAGCTGCGGCTGCCCCTCGCCCGGCCTGGCAGCGCCGGGCTCAAGTTGAAGCCTCTCGCCGTTGGGCTCATCGCGGTGCTCGGAGGCGTTTCGGCGTTGCTTTGGCGGCAGGCGGCGCGGCTGCAGCTGCCACGAACGCAGGAGAGCATGCTTCTCCCCGACCACATGTTCAGTCGCGCCGCCGCCGCGCTAGAGGATGACGACAAGGTGCGCGCGGCGGCGCACGGCGGCAGCCTCCGGACAACCGCGCTGCCGGGTTGCGTGGTATTCGGCCTCGCCGCCATCGACCGCTCCGATGAGACTTCGCGCTTTGCGATTGACACGCAGCGCGGCCGTCCCGTGTTGGACGCCGGATTTGATCTGTCCGACGCGGACACTCAGCGCGCGCTCCTCGGACTCTCCGCTGCTCTGCCGCGTGAGCCGTGCGAGCTGCGGCTCTGCCGACCGCCGACGCTCGTGCGGGAGGGCGCGCCGCTCTTCTTTCTCGAGGCGTGGCGACGACACAACGTCGAGGTTGCGGCCCAAAAGGAGGAAAAGGCGCGGCAGCAGCGAGAGAGGGCGAGGCGCCACTCCACCAACACGACGGGCCTCACAAAAGACGACGGTGGCAGCGGTGCGGGCGGCGGCGCCGGACCCAGCGGGGCTGACAGCGTGGCCGACGGCGGCGCTGGCCGCGGCGGCAGCGGCGGCAGCGGCGGCGGCGACGCTTCGGTTCGTGATGCGCCCTTGTTCGACCCATCGCCGCCTGTGACAGGCCTGCCTAGTGGCCACCGCGGCAATTTCACAGTTGCAATCCACTCTTGGCTCGCTTCGTCGCGGGGCGCCCCGTACCGTTCCCAAGTGGGTTTCATCGACTCGGAGCTGGCGTTCCTGTGCCTGCCCTTCCTCACCACCTATTCGTACCCGCAAGCCACTTGGCTCGATTGGCTCGAGCTGCGCGCGCTGTGGGACACCGTGCTCAGCCGCTTGCTCGCGGACGCGCCGCCACCGCTCCGCCGCGCCTTCCCGATCGTGTACCAGGAGGCATCGCGCAAGGAGACCGGCCGCGTGCTCGTCTCCGCCTTCGCCGTGGCGTCGCTCTACCCGCGGCTCTTCCACGCGCTCAGCAGCTCGCTCGCCGCAGCGTTCGCGCTGTGCTATGTGATCGTCGCCGTTGCGACTCGCTCACTCGCCCTCGCCTCCCTCGCCACCGCCACCGTCGCCGGCGTCATCGGCTCCGTGCTGGGCGCCGCTCAGCTCTGCGGTGACGAGAGATGCCGCTCCCCGCCCGTCGCACACCCCGGACGGCGCCTCCGCACTCGACGCGTCGCCCCCGTGTCGCTGCGAGTAGGCGTCGAGCTCGGGATTCGAGAGATGTGCGGCGTCGCGGTGATGGCCGGCTTCTCCTTTGACTACGCGCTACACCTCGCCACGGCGTACCGCGCCGCGCCGCCGAGCCGCGCCGGCAAGAGCCCCACCCGCGAGGAGCGCGTCGCGTTTGCAGCCGTGCACATGGGGCCCACATTGTGCGCCGCATCGCCCCTGTCCGCCTCGAAGTGCGCACTGGCACCCAAACTGCGACTGCTGCGAATAGGCTCGGCGGCGCGCTCACCACCTGCGGCTCGCTGCTCTTCATGTTTGGGTGCGAGTTCCCCTTTCTGCTCTCGCTCTCCCACTTGGTGACGGCCGCGGTTGGGCTCAACGCAGTGCAGGCCGTGTTTCTCTTCCTGCCCCTGTGCGCGGTGTTTGGTCCTGAGAGGCTGGGTTGAGCTGAGGCGCCGCCATGCCAAATTCCTTTTCTCTCTCACAACAGACAACACTGGGCACGGGACTGTGCGACTGGTGGCTGGCGAGCACACTGGCACTAACTAACACAGCAACACAGGTGTCCAGTGTTAAAAATAAAATATTCTTAGCTTCAAGCCCCCCTCCGAGACTGGAGACAGAACCCACCCGTACACAGGAGAGATGGGACTGCCCCCCGCCCCCACTTGCCCTGACTACACAGGATAGCGTGCCCCGAAGACGGCGACACATAGTGGGGGACACTGCGCAAGGAGGGGGTGCGAAAGCTCATTGGGGTGCTAGGTGGGACCATGAGGGGGGGTGGGCGGGGTCCTGTGGGGGTGAAATGTTGCGCGGCGAATTCGAGCCTACCCCCTCGCCGCACCGATCCTCACGCGGAGGGTAAAACCCTGTGGGACAAAACCCCTCCGCGGTCGGCTGTCTTCAGAGTGGACCCCCCCCTCCCCAGCCTCCCCTGTGCATCTCGCACCCCCCCCCGCTCCCCATCGGTGACTCGCGAAGGACACGGACACTCGGGGTGAGGGGGGGTCCCCCCGGAGGGGGCTCTGGGGCACTGTTGGGTTGATCGCTCGTGCCGATCTCGGGTCGATCTCGGGTCGATCTCGGGTCGATCTCGGGTCGATCTCGGGTCGATCTCGGATCGATCTCGGGTCGATCTCGGGTCGATCTCGGGTCGATCTCGGGTCTCGGGTCGGTCTTGGGTCGGTCTCGGAGTGGTCTAGAAAAGAAAAAAATGTGGGGCGAGATGAGGCGAGATGAGGCGAGGTGAGGCGAGGTGAGGCGAGATGAGGCGAGGTGAGGCGAGATGAGGCGAGATGAGGCGAGGTGTACCTCGGCGAGATGAGGCGAGATGAGGCGAGATGAGGCGAGATGAGGCGAGATGAGGCGAGATGAGGCGAGGTGAGGCGAGATGAGGCGAGATGAGGCGAGGTGAGGCGAGGTGTGAGGCGAGATGAGGCGAGGTGAGGCGAGGTGAGGCGAGATGAGGCGAGGTGAGGCGAGATGAAGCGAGGTGAGGCGAGATGAAGCGAGGTGAGGCGAGATGAGGCGAGATGAGGCGAGACTAGGAGGCGAGATGAAGCGGGATGTTGTGTGGCTGCTTCCTCCGAAAAGGAGACATCAAAAGCGACTACAGAGGCAATCGGGCGACGCCCGGAAGGCGAGCAAGGGACCGAACCGGACCGAACATTCGCTCTGACGGGCGGGGGACGAGGTCCCGGGGAACCGGGCGAAGTTTGGCCGTCGTGTGCGCGTACGTGACATGTGGTGTTGTGTCCGTGTCCACTAGCTCCGAGTAGAGGGGGCGTTCTGCAGT